TGCTTTTTTGATCTTCATAAAGTAATACAAGTATAAGAAGTTAATAATAGCTTGTTAATTATTATCACCATCTTAAGGCCCTGTCATACCTTAACCATTTTGACAGCAGATGCTCAAAATTTGCTGATGTAAGCCAGCGTATGCTCATAGGTGGGCCATAAATTACAGGTAAGTTATTTGATTGTTGACAAACGTAAAGTTTAAGTTACTCATCAGTCGTGGCGTCTAGCTAATCCAAAACCTATGAGTTATTGCCCTGGGTGTCAAATATAGAGAAACAGGTTGTGGCATAGGGTATCAAATAGTAATTGCACATTATACATTCTACAATTTGTTGCAGTTGTAGTGTTGCATCGTAGAATCTGGTTGCAGCAGGGATGAAAGGCCTGCGGTAGCGCTACTTTTTACAAACAGGGTGTACAAGTCTTTTACTAAAGGAGCTGCTCATCTCCTCTACAGTCTGGTGCAGAGGGTGGAGGGTTTTGTCCATGATGGATGACAGCACCCTCCTCTCAGCCACTTCCTCTACAGAGTCCAGAGTGCAGCCTAGGACAGAAACAGTCTTTGTCACCAGTTTGTTCAGTCTCTTTCTGTCCCGCTCTGCGCCATCTCCACCATCATCCTCATTTTCATTAGGCCCCCGTTCTCCTTTGGTCTCCATATTACCACCAGTGTCAGGGGGGGAAGCCATATCTATTCTGATTCATCTGCTCAATCATAACATCATAATTCTCTATGCTCACATCTTCCATCAGGGCCTGAGCACGAAGGGCTATATTATTCATTTCAATAAAACACTGTTGCTAATCTACTGTTTGAGTCTTACCAGGTAGAAATGCAGCTTAATGGTTTAACATTTTATACAAGTGTTTCTATATGTATGAAATATGGCACAGTATTAATGGTTTAATTTCAAGATGAATCAGATAATCTGCAGGATGTCATCTGTGCTGGTAGAGCTGCTTAACATGTCAGCTCTATAGTATATAGATTTTGATACCGCCTGCAGTCCTGTGCCTGAACATACATTAGTTCAGATATTTTGTGCAATTTGAACTTAACATGGACTTTTTGAGAACTAGAATCTTAGACTTTATGGATTTATTTTTTATTTAAAAGCCAAGTTAGAGGGGCCTTGGCTACTAGCTGTGCGACCGTGTGAATCAATGTCTTATTTTCTTTACTAGCATAAAAAAATGCTTTTCAGCAGGTGGAGAAGAAGGTTAGAATAAGGTTTTATTTTTTTGTGTGGAAAACATGTAGCAATAGTATGTCAAAAAAACTAATTGTTGTTAACAGTTGTTTGTTTTTTCTTTCATGATAGTATCTCTAAATAACTATGAATCATAATAATTTTGGAAGATCAAAATATTTATTGACAGTGAAAGCTGAGACAAACATCCTGACCTGTTAAATGTTATCCCCTCATGATGTATCTTGAAAATGAACAGAGTTTTTCTTTATATCATTTCGCTCACTCTTATTCATTCTGAATTCATCAAGTAGAGGAAATGACACATCAATGACCTTAACACTCCCACACAGATTCCTTCATAACCTTAGTTGCTTTGTGGATGAACAACCCTTAATGTTGTTTCTGTTTCTTGTTGAAACCAGCTCTAATCTTTTCCTTTGAAGTGATGCCTTACTTCAGAGGAAATTGTATTTTTTAAGTCAATTTTTAACATTTGATTATATTGTTTCCACAATGTTTCACGAGTGCTGGTTTTAATTTGTAATAAAACAGAATACGAATCTCTGTTGGATGTAAAACAAGCTTTTAAGACCTACTCTGAAAAAAGGGACTTTTTGGTCCAGTAAATATTACCTCAGTTTTAACAGTATGTAAAATGTACTGCAAATGTGTCTTTACTTCAAAATGACACCTTTTATTTAATATGTTACTTAGAACTTATTAGTAAAGCTATATATATAAAAAAGACACGTACATTTTATTTACCTTTCCAAATATTATTAGCAAAACAACTGAAATAAGTTCCTAACTTAACAAATGCAAGTAAAATATACTTGGATATTATAAGTAAACTTAGTGCTGTTTTCCTTGCCTGATCGTGGTTAGGTTAGAAATGGAAAATGTTATTAACCTGGAGCCTAGGCGGAAGTTCAACTGAAGAAACTCATTGCTCTCCTACATCCACCTGCGACACAGCCAATCAGCTTTGAACCACACCTCCATGAAAGCCAATTGGCATCAAAGTCCACCTTAAAAGGCCTTAGATCCACAACTTGTTTGCCCATGTGCGCAGGCGGTGGATGCGCCGTTTCAACTCGAATCTAGCTTCGGATCCTCTCCTCTGGCTGCTGCTCAGATCCTATCCTATGGCACACCTGTTGATCCATGCAGTACTGCAGAGATTTGCGGCGCAGCCACGCCCTGTTCCCCCGTCTCCAAACATTTCTGTGTTTCAGCCATCAGCAGTCAGCTGGCTCTCTCTGCGTTCAGCTCACTGACACTGATTCTCTTCAGGTGAGACGTATCGCTTCAAGGCTCTAGTGTTTCCTCATTCATACCTTCAGCTCTTTTCTGTAATAAAAAAATATTGCACGCTCGTTCTAATCAGCACACAGCTTCTCATCGTTAATTAACATCAGTCCTCTGATCTTTGCTTTCAGGTCCCCGGCTGGTTTTTTATACAATTTTCTCTGTTAATTATGTCATGGCGATTTAATCAGCAGATTGTGCGCTGCTTTTAATGGATAAATCACGTCGTTTCTGCGTTTCTTTCAGTTTGTTTCTATTTCAACTCATTCTTTGTCTACGTTCACACTGCAGGCCTTGATGCCCAATTCCGATTTTTTTGCGAAATCCGATTTTGTTTACGTTGCCGTTCATATTTCCAAATATATGCGACTTGTATCTGATCTCCTGTGTGAACTGCAGTCATACAACGCAAGTGTCCCACATGCGCAGTAGAGGACGCAATGACGTCACAGGCCAGCCTGTTCTTTTTTTCCGGAAGTAAACATTGCTGGTAGTGCCGGCACGCATCTAGCGGTCTTTTCCAACCATAAAAACACAACCTTTAAATATGGTTAAACATAAATACTGCTCTCCGCATCATCATCTGCCATGGTTGTTGTTTTTCTTGCCTCTTCTGTGTAGCTAGACGCATAATAGTGACCTTTGTCAGGTATTAATGACGTCCAGGTCGGAGGAATCCCACCTGGCTGTTCAGACACAGGTCGCATTTGATAAGATCAGATTTGTATAGGATTCAGGACCTCATAGCCAAGTGGCCTGGGTCGCATTGGAAAAAATCGGATCTGTGTTGTTCAGACAGCCATGAAAAGATCAGAATTAGGCTGCACCTGTTGTCTGGTTGGTGATTATGTTGTCCACTGCATTCATAATCTCTGCTTCTAGTTTCAGATCATCATCAACTGCATGTCTCAACTTCAGCACAGTCACAGGCATTCCCCTCAGCACATTGTTTCTATCTAAACTCCACCATGTTAGACACATTTCATTGTGGCGGCCACATTAGGCACCTTCCAACCCTCGCAACAAGTGCTTTATGTCATTCCTTTCTGATCCCTGCAGGTGTTATGACGCCCTCTATCACCGCGGCAGGCGCTTATGGTGCCCTGTTCTGATCGCTGCAGGTGCCCGTGGTGCCTTTTCCTACCGCTGCAGGTGTGCAGGGTGCCCTCCATTCTTAGTGGCGGGAGCTTACGCGCCCCTTTTGCCCTCACTGCAGGTGCTCATGGTGCCCTCCATCTATCGGGCGGCCTTTTCCCATCACTGCAGGTGCTTTGGCACCCCTCATTGTCGCGCCAGCACTCATGGCGCCCCTCTTCCATTGCTACAGGTGCTCACGGCACCATTTTCTATCGCTGCAGGTACGATGGCACTTTCATTGCACGCCGCTTCATGGAACACCTTTTTCCATCGCTACTACCCAGCAAACACATGTGTGTGGGCCCCACATGGGATTTACTTGGTCAATGGGGGATCCAAGTCGGCATGGGCTGTAAATGGGCATCCAAAGTGGGACCCACTTGGGTGATCAATGTAGGACCGATATGAGCCAGCCCAGATGGGCAATACTCTATGGGCACCAGATGGGTAACAACTGGGAAATAAGTGTTGGTATAGCTGACTTAAATATAATTTTTAAAAATGTTTTAATTTGAAAATAATTAATGGAATAGGCCCTAATGTCTAATAAATTATGCAGGGGCGCCATAATTTAAGATATTAAAACAGCTATGCTTAAATCAATATTTGATTAATAAAAGTATAGAATATAATAGTGATCCACATAAAAAACATATTGTAAATTGTAAGATGCTTCTAGGAAAAAAATTATAATTCAAAACTGAGTTAAAGATATTTTATATCTAGAGGTATTTTTTTTATGCGCGCGATATTTCTGGAAATATCGCGAGTTGTTTTCAACCCCCTCCCCTCTGGAAGATTCTTTTCGCGCCTTTGGACGGAGTGAATGTTAAGAGAGCTGGTATTTTTCCTGGACAAAGTGGAATAAAAGAACAAGTTTTCTGCTGTAAAGGTAAGTTTTTTTTTTTTTTTTTTCTCTTGAATCTATGTATATCAGAAATTATTGAAACGTGCTAAGGTTGTAAAGAAAGGTATTTTTATTTTTTATTTTTTTACCTATTAAAAAAAGGGAGGATTCGTAGTCAGAACATGCACGAATTTGTTAGGTCCAGGCTTATCCATAAATGCTTTTTCATGTCTGAGCATTAAAGTCTGTGCTGGTTACCTCCTAGAAAATTGTGATTTTCCCCTTGAAAAATATAATCATGGAGTCTCTTTTTATTTGGCATCTTCTTCAATCTGTTCCTTATTTTCATCCATAAATGTCTATCCGTTGCACTCAAACACATCACCATTAAGCCTAGCAACAATAAAAGAAAAAAAAAAAATCCATCCCTCGTTTCCGTTTATGGATGGGGTCGAGTCGCGCAGGTGGCAGGGATTATTAAATCTAGCAAAATGGCGGGAGCTGATCGGGCCAGTTTATGCGCTGCTGTGAATGTTGCCTACGAACAAAGTATCGCGCACCTGCTGGATCAGATACACTACAACAGCGTTAGTAGTGAAGAGGTAAATTCACTGAACAGCTAGATGGGTATGAGTACTAAGGAAATGATAGATCAGAGTGTTTTTCAGTGGCACATTGTGGGCTGTTTAATGGTCTTAGAGAAATGTTAAATGTAAGAACAGAAATACCTATTAAGCCGTCTGTCCAAAAACCTCTAGAGATGGATTTAGTAGGGTTATTTTAAATCTGTTGAACGATTGATTTGGTATTCAACATAGATATAAATGATGCAAGAGATAAACAGTAAATAGACAAAATGCATTCCCATAAAACACACACATATATATATATATATATATATATATATATATATATATATATATATATATATATATATATATATATATATATATATATATATATATATATATATATTTTTTTTTTTTTAAATAAATACATTTAACAGATTAAAATTGCATTCCCAGAAAAAAAAAATAAAAAAAAATATATATATATATTTTTTTTTTAAATACATTTAACAGATTAAAATTGTTTCTAAGATCTGTCTATGTATTCCAGTTTGAAACGCTGATTTTTTTGAGGAATACAGTGTTCTAAGTTAATTTTTAAAAAATTAAGGACTAAGGAGGTGGCTGTACCATAGAAAATGCATATCAGGCTGTATAATTTATCCAGTAGAGCAGAATGTAGTCCAGACTGTTTAATATTTAATGTGCATTTTATCACCTTTGCTTATAATTTTATACCCATATGTTAGAAATGAATAGGTTGTTATAAAGAACCGAATGGGACAAAGAATTTTCTGTATTGTTCTTTTCAATAGCAATGTGGACTTTTCCTGGAAAGCAGTGGTAATTTGCTTGTGAGATGGTGTTGTTGAAAGTTCCAAGCCTGTTTGACTTAAAGACAGGATGCGGGGGTTTAGAACAGCTAATGAAAGGACAAAGAAAATCTTTAGAAAAAAAAATGAAAAGAAACCCTGAGCTGGAGGAAGAAAAATTAATTGATGCACTGGACAGCTTTTTTTTATTTCAATTTATAAATGATCTGTGCCCAAGTTGGCATCTGAGTTTTTTTTTTAAACCAACAACAGCAATAACACCCCCCCACCACCAGAAGCTGGTTGTTTCTTTATGTCTAAAACACAAGTAATGCTATACATTTGGACAAAGAAAATATGATTACATGTAAATGTATGTCGATAGTGTTCATGATTAAAGACTTTGTGATAGTGTAACTTATGGAGGTTGTTACCAAAGTGACCAAAACATTTTTGCATTTTACCCCTTTCTAATTCCACACCATTTGTTTTCTAGAAAAAAAATGGAGCAGTCTGAGAGGACAAAGAGAAGAAAAATAGCTGCAAAAGTTGCTGAACATTTTTGGCTTGCTTCCCAGCAGAATGAGGCAGAGCATGATCTAGACTTTGATTATTTTGTAAATGAACGGCTTCAGGATATACATCATGATAGCGAAGATACTGAAGTCAGTTCACAGAATGAACAATCTACAGATATTTTTTATGATGCTTTGGATTCTGAAATATTTCCAGAAGACTTTGAAACTGAGGGGTGTCATTTTAATGAGTTTGATCTGGATGATAGTACAGATTCAGATGCTTTTTCAGACACACCAGATGATACAAAAGAACTTGCTGAGTGGGCTGCAGAACACAATGTCTCACATAATGCTTTGTCTGCCCTTCTTAAAATTCTTAGGCAAAAAGGTCTTAATGTACCATTAGATGCTCGAACATTGATGTCAACTACACGGAAATGTAATGTGATAAATGTGGCTGGGGGATCATACTACCATTTTGGAGTGAAGAATTCAATTGTTGCAGCACTGGAAAATTTAGATTTTGATCTAAAAGAACTAACGGATACTATAACACTTAGAATAAATGTGGATGGTCTACCTTTATTCCGCAGCAACAATGTAAGTCTGTGGCCTATTCTTGGTAGAATCAAGGAGATTCCAAATTCTGATGTTTTTGTGATTGGCCTTTACTCTGGTATGACTAAACCCTCTAATGTTCATGAGTACTTGAAGGAGTTTATACAAGATCTACATGCAATTATGCAAGTGGGGGTTCAGTATAATGGTGTTCATTTCACTGTTGCTGCTCCAGATGCATTCATTTGTGATGCTCCAGCTCGTGCTTTTCTTAAATCTGTTAAGGGACACACTGGCTATTATGCATGTGAGCGTTGCACTCAAAAAGGTGTATATATGAATCGAAGACTATGTTTTCCTGAAGTTTCTGCTGAGCTAAGGACTGATGAGGCCTTTTGTGCTATGGCCTACAAAGAACACCAGGTTGGCGTGTCACCTTTGAATGAGATAGGCGTGAAGTTAGTATCCGGTTTTGTGCTGGACTACATGCACCTTGTGTGTCTGGGGGTAATGCGCAAGCTCATCTATCTTTGGCTAAAGGGTCCAAGAAACTGCAGACAGTCTATGCAAATTCTTACAATGATATCAGCATTTATGATTTCTGTCAGGCAATACTTGCCTAAAAGTTTTGCACGGAAACCAAGGTCTCTCCTTGAAATTAGCATGTGGAAAGCAACTGAACTGAGGCAATTTCTACTTTACACAGGTCCAGTTGTTCTATTTAATAAAATACCAAGCCAAATGTATAGACACTTTATGCTTTTATCTGTATCTATAAGAATAGTTCTAAGTCCGAATCTGTGTATTAACAACTGTGATTATGTAGAGGATATTTTGAAGCTGTTTGTGAAAGACTTTGGTTTAATTTATGGTCTTGAATTTGTTGGCTATAATGTACATTCTTTAATACACCTTTCTCAAGATGCACGAAAGTTTGGCCCCTTGGACAGCATTTCCTGCTTCCCATTTGAATCCTTCCTGGGAAAACTGAAAAATTGTGCGGAAACCTCAGAAACCAGTGGAACAAATTGTCAAACGTATCTATGAAAGACAAAGACTTTTAAAAAAAAGAAAAAATATTTCTGTTTCCTCTCCTCTTAAACAGCCTCATAACTCTGGACCAATAACAAGTGATCTTGGAACCTGTAAGCAGTTCAGGAAATACACTGATGGACAGATATTGGTGTGTTGTTCCAAGGGTGATAACTGTTTCAATATAGGAGGAAGAATTGTTATTGTGACAAACATTTTACAGGATGGTCAAGCTGTCAAAGCACTCTGTCAGGTCTTTGAAAACTGTAATGCTTTTTTCACCTACCCATTGGACTCAACATGCCTTGGCATTTACTTTGTTGCAAATTTGTCTAAAAACATGCATGTTGTATCAGTTGATAAGTTGAAACAAAAAATGGTGCTGTTGCCACTGAAGTCTGGATTTGTAGTTTTGCCACTGCTGTTCTAGATGTTTCTTTTTCTTTCCCTCCAGCGTGCTGCCATTTGCTGTTGTTGATTTTCTGGATGGTGGGGGTGTATCCATTGTTCCTTGCAAGTGGTTTACAGGACCAGCAGAAGACTCTTGTTTCTGGCCACCAGGGAGAGTAAATATCAACAAGGTGGTAAGGGATGAAATCTCTCCAAATACAGACTGGCCACAGTACAGAGTTCGCATCTTGGGGAAAGCTGGTGAGAAGCCTCATTATCTTCAAATATTTCTTCATTAAAGGTAGAAGAAGAAATGTTGCTGTAATTATCAACAACATTCTGTTTTGTATTGTATGTTATTCTTTTACAGAGAGCTATGAAAGTGCCAGAGTGAAACTGCGGAGGTCTGAGACAACATCTGATCTGCAGACTGAGTCAGATTCTGGAGGGAGATTGGGAAAAGGAAAGCGAAAGAGGAGGTAATTATTTCCTTTTTAAAAGCACCTAAAAGAAACAGTGTATTATCAATATTATAAAAAAAACAAAACACTAACATCAGATTTAAGTTTTTTGCTGTTGTAGCTCTAGTAAAAAAATGGAAATATAATTTCTACAAACCAGATGTAGCCCAATGTAGTGTTGCTTTGCCGGTTTTGTTTCAAACTAGCTATCTCATCCACGGTGTCTGTCACAGCTACTTTATCTTTATACCTATAAGCAGTGCCTAAATGCATTCAAAATCTCATGGTTTTTAAATAATTTTCTCATTTATTTAAAGGCCAGTGGTTCTGTCCAGCTCAGATGAGTGGGACGATCCTGCAGAACAACAAGAAACCTCAACACTGTCATCAGCAGAGGAGAGATCTTCAAGGATAACTCCCCACCCGAATGTCACCCATCCATTTGTTCAGCCACCAACACCCACAAGGCCTTCCCCTGTGGTTACACAACCAAATCCACGACGACTTGTACAGGACACAAATGCCAACATGTTTGTACGTGTTCTAACCCTTTTGGAGGACATCAAAGACACTCAGAGGGTTCATAGTCGAATGCTACAGTCTGCTGAAACAACGCGATGGACCAGTTGCTGCTGTGTTACCCGAGGGTGCTCGGTTTCCCCTCCAGACAGTCCAAGATGTGGAAGCACTGGAGCAAAAGTTATTAGATCCTGTCTTCCTGAAAGAAGTGGTAAATATGAATTATTCTGTGCCTAAATTTTTTTAATTTTATGTGCCTAAATTTTTTTAATTTTACGACCACCTGTGTATAATCAAGGAGAGTTGCTGTTTATTCAAACATTTTCAGTGGAATGAAGGAGTGGATAGAGATGTACAAAAGTTGATTTTTTTTTTTTTATTATTTCTGTAAATGCTACCTAGTCATTAATGCAATGCCAAAACCAATCCTTTTTTTTTTTTGGTTCATTATCATTTAACTCATTGCATCAGACTTTTAGACTTGACACTCAACACTCTAATTGAGATAATTTCAATATTGTCATGACTGTGTAGATGAAGTTTTGTAATTTTAGCTGACTGTAAGTACGATTAGTAAAATTTATTTAATCTTTTGTCCTAAGGTTGCTGTTGTGGCAGAGATTGGAGGAAGTACAGTTGATGAAGCTACCAGAAGAATGATGGCTTTCATAATGGATAATCCCCTTTCTAGGGAATATAACTTTATTGGGCGCCATGGAAAGCGGGAATTTAGAGGCCTTAAGCTTTTTGAAGTGCTATATGGTAAGCTTATGAATTATATTTTACAAAATCTTGATGTTCAAAAGATAGATTCTCACTCAAACTTTAGTTGTAATTCCAAACAATTTCATCATTTGCTAAAGTTTACATGCACAAAAATGCTTAATTTTTTAAGTATTTCTAGATTAAAAGAAGTACTCAAATTACACTGTTTACATTAGATTAGCAGAAGTTAACAATCTTTGAATGACATGCTTTTATTTACACCAGGCTTTGTTGAGAATAAAAACTTTCTAATATGTACAGAGTAGGGCTGCATAACATATAATAAAATAATGCATTTTATTTAAAAGCGTCTTATCAAAACACACAAGGTCACTGTACACAGACATTGAAAACATAATAAACATTAAAACAACAATATAAAATAGAAATGCATCACAATATTAGTGTGCAGAATATTCATATTGCAAAGGACTCCTTAGAGCAGCTGTTATCTTATAGTAATATATAATTATCTTATTTTAAAAATGCTCATTCCATTAACAGATAATCTTATTTACCAAATTAAGGCAAAATACTCTTATTTCAAGAATATTAAATTCATGTTCTACTTATTTTTAATAAGTTATTTACTTATGTTTAGTTTACTTTTTGTAGTGTAGAATATAGTCTCCTGTTCTTTGTTCTTTTCAGGCAGTTTGAAAAGAAATGCTCTCACCAGCCAGATTACAAGAAAAGAGGCAGAAAAGGCAGCATCCAAGTGGCTTATTGGTGCAAGGGATAGAGGAGGAAACCGAATGGCAAGGGCTAAGTCACATAATGCATGACAGGTATTACTTGATGATTAGGTTGAGAGCAGTGGTTCTGCAATTTTTTTGCTCTTCTAACAAAAAAATTGTTACATTTTTTAAACTACTAATGAACAAATTATCACAGAACAAAAGTTATTGTGCCTGGCCAGATTCTGTGCATTTTTTCATGTGATACCGGTGGCGGGGAGGGGGGGCTTAACATTATAACTACCATGGAAAAGGGGGACCTGCAGAAAGTTTAAAAACCACTGGTTTAGATAGACGGTACAAATTGGAGATGAAATTAATACTTTATTATTCAGTTGAAGTCAATTGTTATGGTTGTTATGGTAGGTCTTTTGGTTGTGTGTGTTTCCTCTTCTGATTCAACAAAAGTTCTGGAGGATAATGGCTGTTGGTAGGAACCAAGCTGGTAGTGAAAACTTTGTATGGATCAGTGAGAAAGATCACAACTGCTGCATCATTGCATATATAGAGGTCTTTAAAACTTGTATGCCTACGGGTGTACTTCTTACTTTACAGTGCAGGTTGAATTATTTTAAACACTAAAGAAATGTAACATGGTCCTCACTGTGCTGATTTCCACAGAAATTGATCTTTCATTTGATACAGATATGTTGATTCTGCAAGGAGCAATATACAGGTAAAAGCCAGTAAATTAGAATATTTTGAAAAACTTGATTTATTTCAGTAATTGCATTCAAAAGGTGTAACTTGTACGTTATATTTATTCATTGCACACAGACTGATACATTCAAATGTTTATTTCATTTAATTTTGATGATTTGAAGTGGCAACAAATGAAAATCCAAAACTCTGTGTGTCACAAAATTAGAATATTACTGAAGGCTACAGTGTGTAACCTTTAGCGACATCTAGCGGTCAGACTGCAGACTGCAGCAACATGAACATCTCCCCCCCCACCGCTTCTCCCCCCCAACAGTACGGCGAGCGTTACGGGACAAAATGTCTTCCACGACGTCCGCATCACCTACCTTCTCAAGTGATGAGGTTTGTTTACATAGCCATTCCCTAAAAATATAAAAATATCCACTGGACTTGGTTTTCAAGATTTGAAGACGTTTCTCCACCTCTCCAGGAAGCTTCCTCAATTCAAATGTCTGGATCCGCAGTGAGTTTGAGTCTTATATAGACAAAGCCTTGTATCGCTTGGAAACATGCAAATGGTAACCGATGAATGGGTCGTTTAGTCCCATCGTTAGCCTGTAATATCTGAACCTGTCTTCAAATCTTGAAAACCAAGTCCAGTGGATATTTTTATATTTTTACGGAATGACTACGACCTGGATGACTGAGAACCTTCATCAGCATTTTGTTTACATAGATAATTTTACAGATAGTATTTCATTAGTCTGTGTAGGGTATAGATTTCATGTAGACTTAAGATAATAAATATACCCGTTATCTTTTCTACGTCGTTGTGACGTTTTGGCGATCTCGCAATCGCTAGTTTGTTGGCTCTGCGCTGCCGTAGCGCAAAGATGTCTGCCTCCATGGCTGCGAGACCCGCTCCTATGTAATTATAAATAACGAATTCTAAGGCAACGCAAATATTAAGGTTAAGAGGCTGAGCTCGTAGATGATGATAAATAACATAGTTATGTATAATATATTACATTTCTGACTGTATATCCCTGTAATTATTACACACTGTAGCTTTAAGGCTAATACAAAAAAGGGATTTTTAGAAATGTTGGCCAACTGAAAAGTATGAAAATGAAAAATATGAGCATGTACAATAATCAATACTTGGTTGGAGCTCCTTTTGCCTCAATTACTGCATTAATGCGGCGTGGCATGGAGTGGATGAGTTTCTGGCACTGCTCAGGTGTTATGAGAGCCCAGGTTGCTCTGATAGTGGCCTTCAACTCTTCTGCGTTTTTGGGTCTGGCATTCTGCATCTTCCTTTTCACAATACGCCACAGATTTTCTATGGGGCTAAGGTCAGGGGAGCTGGCTGGCCAATTTAGAACAGAAATACCATGGTTCGTAAACCAGGCACGGGTAGATTTAGCGCTGTGTGCAGGCGCCAAGTCCTGTTGGAACCTGAAATCTCCATCTCCATAGAGCAGGTCAGCAGCAGGAAGCATGAAGTGCTCTAAAACTTGCTGGTAGACGGCTGCGTTGACCCTGGATCTCAGGAAACAGAGTGGACCGACACCAGCAGATGACATGGCACCCCAAACCATCACTGATGGTGGAAACTTTACACTAGACTTCAGGCAACGTGGATCCTGTGCCTCTCCTGTCTTCCTCCAGACTCTGGGACCTCGATTTCCAAAGGAAATGCTAAATTTGCTTTGGTCAGAAAACATGACTTTGGACCACTCAGCAGCAGTCCAGCTCTTTTTTTCCTTAGCCCAGGTGAGACGCTTTTCGCGCTGTTCCTTGGTCAACAGTGGCTTGACACGAGGTATGCGGCAGTTGAAGCCCATGTCTTTCAAGCGTCTCTTGGTGGTGGATCTTGAAGCACTGACTCCAGCAGCTGTCCACTCCTTGTGAATCTCCCACACAACTTTTTTAATTGTTTTTTTTTTTCACAATCTTGACTAGGGCGCAGTGATCCCTATCGCTTGTACACTTTTTCTGACCACAGTTTTTGCTTCCCTTTGCCTCTCTATTAATGTGTTTGGACACTGAGCTCTGAGAACAGCCAGCCTCTTCAGCAATAACCTTTTGTGTCTTTCCCTCCTTGTATAATGTGTCGATGGTCGCCTTTTGGACAGCTGTCAAATCTGAAGTCTTCCCCATGTTTGTGTCGGCTTCAGAACTGGACTGAGAGACCATTTAAAGCCCTTTGCAGGTGTTTTGAGTTAATCAGCTGATTAATTTGTGGCACCAGGTGTCTTCAAAATGTAACCCTTACACAATATTCTAATTTTGTGACATGAATTTTGGATTTTTATTTGTTGCCACTTCAAATCATCAAAATTAAATGAAATAAACATTTGAATGCATCAGTCTGTGTGCAATGAATAAATATAATGTACAAGTTACACCTTTTGAATGCAATTACTGAAATAAATCAAGTTTTTCAAGATATTCTAATTTACTAGCTTTTACCGGTAGTTGTTTTGAGCTGCATTATTTTTTTCCCCCTTCAATTCAGATGGTGTTAGGTACAATATTTTCTCTTTCATTATTATGTTGAAGGGCTTCATTGATTGATCCTGTTGTAGAAATGTCCATTGCCATGGATACTTTAAGTCTTGAAAGAATTCAGTTTAGGATGTCAGGGATACTCTGATTACAGTGGTACTCGAGAGTATTAATAACCTCCAAATAAAGAAGAGAAAAAAAAATCTGTCTGTAAAATAAGTTGAAATTGACCAAAGTAATAATAAATAAAAATTCTATGAAAATCATGACACTGAATTTGAATTGTGGTTCAAAAGAAACATTAAAAATCTAACAAGTGAACAAGCATGATAGGGTTCTGAAACAAACATTTTGTTGAGCAACCCTTTAAGACAATCACTGCTCTGTTTTTTTTCTGTAAGGTATAAAAGGACTTACCTGTTAAGAGGCGTTTCATTGTACATTTCACAGGAAAGGTGATCTAATGTGTCTGACACAGTTTTACTTTGATTATTTTTTTTTAACCATAATTTTCAACCGCAATTTAAAAGCAACATTTTATTTCACTACATTATGATCTTGTAAAGTTGTATTTATTATTACTTTTTTCAATTTTGTGTTATAATTGCTACTTTGAATTTAGCATTTTCTTTAATTGGAGGGTGTTTTTAATCTTGAGCACGACTGTAGGTTTTATGCTGCCGATCCCTGATACTGATCACATCGATTCACTGTTAAGATTTTGATTTAGTTATAAATGGTGCTGCCAAAATCAAGGCAGATGAGTTTTAAAATTTTGACAGATCCTTCTTATGCTATTCTGCCACGGATGGTGACAGTTTTTAAAATGTAACAAACAAGTTTTTAAAAAGTTACCAACTGCAGCTTTAAGTAGACATTTAATGTGAAAGTGGAGTATACTGGAGCTCGAAATACTAAATTCCAGTAGCAAGAGCAGTTAATTTTCAGAGGCTGATTGTCTAGCCCAGTAATAAATCTGATGCTATTTGCTAAAAAAAAACAAAAAAAACAAAACAAAGTGCACTAATTTTTTGTTTGTTTTTCCAGGACCGACAGATCGGAAGATGAGTGATGAGTGGTTTGCTGTTTCTTTCTATCAAAAAAGCTCATACTTACATATTTTGAATACTTTTGCATCTCTGTAACCTTTTTGTCAACATGTTCTCTATACAAAATATGTTGTTTCATAAAACTGTTTAAAAATTGTATATTAAGCATTCTTAATAAAAAAAAAAAACAAACAGGCTTTGTTGTACAAGTTATTTAAATCAGAATAGTTTTATCAAATTAGGACTTTTACTCTAGGCTTTGTTAAATATTGAAGAATGGATAGCCTTTCTAAAAAGGCATAAGAATTTGTGTTTGTGGTCCACTCTTAAGGAAATGGAGGATATTTTGTACCCATATGGTGTAAAAAAAAAACTATCGATCCACCTTTTGGATTAAGTAGGTTTTCACATGAGATCCATCCAAATCCCATCATAGGCACCTTGGGGAATGGAGGTCAATTTTAAAAAGGATAAAAATAGCCGGGTCCCATGTGGGGAATCCAAGTGGGCCCCAAATATCAGCCTTGCTTCCACCCATCTGGACCCCACCTGTGTTTGTCAGGATATAAGCTGGGGCCCATTCAATGCCCATCACAAACCCAACTGGGCAAACACACTTGGGGCCACCATGGAAACTGAGGACAAAAACAGCTGGGTCCCAGGTGGGTAGCCCGAGCAGGCACCACATATTAAACCCAGTTTTACCCATTTAGCTCCCACATGTGATCGCTGGCTAGGAACAATGTAGGGCCCATCCAAGGCCCATCATAAACCCAACTGGGCAAACACACTTGGGGCCACCA